TATCACAGCCCTCACACAAATCTCATTTGATTTGTGTGGCGCATATGTATCTGGTGCCCCCTTGTACCAATATCTATGTGTTAAAATAAATAAATAATTTGATGAAATTTACTAAAAAGCGGTTTTGTCATAAGTAGCAGCTGTTTCTCTTCTGACCTATTTGAACTTTGTACATTACTTATTCATATCAGAACTGAAAGAATTTATCTCAGCGTCAATTCCTTCGTAAGCACGATTATAATATTATTAAATGAATTTTGTACAAGATTGAAGTCAATCTGTGACATATTCTACATTTAAAACAATTAGTCCTTTTGATAAATCTCAATAATGCAATGAGAAGACGAAGGTTAGCAGAATTATGTGATGATGTATTTGTGAAATACATTTCGAACAATCTGATCACACATCTATACTTGTTAAGACATTTTTATATGAAAACTAATAGGTCAACTAGACAAATACATAAAGTACACAAAAACAATGTGATAATCACTCTGGGTAATAAATCAGTATTACCAGGGTAGGTTAAGGGTAAAAAAGATTGTTTTGAATACATACAGAGGGCTTCAGTTTCCGTACTATACGTCCTTGAAGGCTTTCGTATAACACTACAAATGCCGACTTGACATCGACCTTATAACGAATCTTAACAAAATGTTTCGTAATGGAAGACTATGTCTGTTTATCCTATGAACTTATTTAACCATTGGGATTCATTTGTTTCTGCAGCCATTTGGGTATGTGTTCCACCATCCTTAATTGCTCCTCCCTATGTACATGTTCCGCACGTATATGTAAATTGGTAGACACAATGGGATGTGCTGTTTGGGTTTTTGGTGAAACATAGACCTCGTATTTTCAATAATGCCAATTTGGGCTGCATAAAATGTCCTGTTGATGACTAATTCCGATCTCCGTTTCAACTTGAGACTATTTGGGTAGCCTCTAAACGATAACTGTTATGTCCTTTGGTCTGTCTACCCACTCTTGGTGTTGAGGATACTTATCTAATCCAGACTAAGACCTTGGCGCGATAGGCTGACCGACCTAACCTTGAGGCTAGTACGCGTGAGTTCGAAGTGGGGTAGAGAGGAAACTATTCTACCACCAATGCTGGGAATTAGCGTAGAAAATAGGGTGCAAAATATTATGTTTAAATTACAATAGCTTCGGAACAGAAAAGGGTATGGCAATGAATCATACATCGGACGAAAGCTTATGTTCTGTAGAATAGAATAGGGACAAAAATAAATGTTAGTGTTTTACAAGCTTTGAGTAAAATGGGATAACGTCCCGAAAAATAGCTTTCGTAGTTTGTCAGGGCTTCTTGTTTCCCTATTCACATCAATAACATAATGTAAACTCGCTTTTGGGTGCCAGAAGTGTCATAGGTCTAGCCGTATTGCAACAATTCCAGCGGATTATGAACTTCAATGAATAATAGTTAATCATTAACGTTTTATTCAATAGCTTCGTCTCTACTTCAGTAGTATCGTTAGTACAAGTATGATTGATGCTATTGAATAAGCCTCTTATTAATCCACGTTTGTAATGAATTGGGTAGTCACTATGGAAATAAAGATATTACCCCGTCTATGTCGGCTTTGAATGGAACCATCATCTCTCCTACTAATCAGTACGTCTAGAAAAGGAAGTTTGTTATTTTTCTATTTTCCACATGTAAGAGAAATATGCTTTTGACTTGTGTTAAGTTCTTTTAACAAGCGGTTCACATCTTCACGTTTATTCCCTATGATTATGATGTCATCAACGTAGCGTTTATACAGACACATCTATTGAATTGAGTCTCCAGCTAGATTTTCAACATGTCTCATAAACACATCAGCCAGAAACGGTCCAAAAGGGCTACCCATAGCTACGACATTGATTTTTCGAAAGTGCTCACCCTTAAAAGGGAATTTTACATTGTCAGTACATAATAATAACAAATCTTTAAGAGTTTTAACAGGAAATGGCAATGGAAGGTTATTCAATGAGATATTGTCACATAAAATATCAATAGTTTCCCAAAGAGGTATATTTGTAAATAAAGTGTTCATATTAAGGGAGAACATTGTCTTTGTTTTTATATTCATGTTCATTAAGTACTTAATCCAAATGAGTCAATCAAGGAATAATTACAAAATTGATTTCGGATAGGGTTTAACACCCTTATCAACCATTTTCAAGGTTGTATGTAGGTGACCGACACAATGATAGAATTGAACGTAATGGGGTATTAGGCTTATGAATTTTTGGTAATCTATATAAATTAGGATACACTGAACCCATAGATTTTAATGAATTAAACTCATCCTTGTCAATAGCATTCATGTTTAACACTTTCATTAGATTCAAGTTTACTTTTTTAATAAAGCTACAGTTGTTTCTTGGGAGCTATGGTCATGTACTTAGGTCCCTACGATCACACTTCACTCAGCTTTCTTATCTAGCCCCTCAAGAAATATCCCTCCAAAGAATGGACCACCTCTCTCATACCTATAATAGTACTCCAGATTATCTTGCTTACAATTGTTATTGTATGAGGCTTCACTTCAATTAACATCTATTATGGTGTTTGAAATCTCCTGGTTTAGTGTCAGTGGTCTTGACCTATAACAGCACTCAAGATCACTGAGACTAAACCAGGATATTTCAAACACCATAACAGATGTTCACTGAAGTGAAGCCCCATACAATAACAATTGTAAGCAAGGTAATCTGGAGTACTATTATAAGTATCAGAGAGGTAGTCCATTCTGTTCTACTTTACGGTTGCGAAACGTGGCCATTAAGAGCAGAAGATACTCGTAAGCTACCAATATTTAACTACAGGTGCCTTAGAAATATTGCTCCCAACTGCTGGGATCACCAGGTAAGTAATAGTGAGGTTAGACGAAGGGTATTAAGAAATGATGGTAAATCAGTTGATGAGGTTGTGAATCTTCATCGACTGAGATGGTTGGGTCACGTGTTACGTGTACCTGAACACCGATTACCACGACGAGCAATGCTGACCAGTGTTGGAGATGGTTGGAAGAAAGTTATGGATGGCCAAACCAAAACGTGTCATCAGTGTTTACAGTCACTAACTTCTAGTCTGAGTCATGTTGGTAGATGCAGATTACTTGGTTGGGGTCCGCATGACCATCGTAACCAATGGTTGGAGACTGTGTGACATGACTCAGAATCGATCACAATGGCGTTGTAGGTGTATACACTCTCTGTCATCCCTTAAACTCTGAGATTAAAATCGTTTCATATCTTACTTTCTACGAACTAACTGTTTCTTGCTGTACTATGTCCTTATATGCCATCTTCCTTTTATACATTGTCACCATTGTATTAACTACTTCTAAGGATTCAGTGTTCATGTTGTTGTGCTAATGAGTGAGGTATGGCAACTTGGACCGATGTATATGTGTGTCTGGTCCCACATTGTAACTGACTGACTAACTAGTTTAGTCTCAGGTACGGTTATGGATGTATTTTGAAAAGAAGTCTCAAACAACAAGTTGTCTAACATTCACCAATTTTCAATGTGGCATCTTAACTGAGACGAATTTTTGTTGAAAGAAAATCTTGAATAAGAGCATTATCGAGGACTGTATTCAATAAATCGATATAACTTGAATGGTTTTGATCAAGATTTGAAAAGTATATAACTGATATTCTGAACTATACAATTTCGAATAGCGTGTAGATGAATCCAAATAATGAATATGAACAGGAATGAGTTCTAAGTGTTTAGTACTGTTTTTGTTTTTCAGTTCAGTTCATTCTTTCATATTAACTTGACAATTTACTGTTGTCTTTCACTATTTCAACAAACAAATAGATTCAGTTTTGAGGTTTAACGTTAATTCATTTTATTTCAACATAATTGTTCAAGGATAAAATCGAATGACCAGAATTGAGGGGCTTACATTTAAGTAGTTATGTACATTTTAAGGATAAGTGGCTTTTATATAAAGATTTTACATAACACAAGAATCAATTAGTTTCCTCTTTGTTTCTAGTAAACTATTAGTTTTTGATTGACATCATGAACCGAAAGATGTTAGATCACCATTGGAAACCTGGAAGCAGTGGATGACCTCAATCAAAAACTTGATAATCTCCACAACCTCTATACTAATGATTACCACGTGCTCACTAGTGAATAGCTTCGTGAGGGAATTCTCGGAGTTCTAGTGAGAAACCGTGACCAGTGGAGCTAATCCGTTGGATGGCGGCTTAGTGGTCCAATAGGTTAGGTATTTGCGCGCACAACTGAGGCTCTGGGTTCGAATCCCGCGAGCGGATCGCAGATGCGCACTGCTGAGGAGTTCCACAGTAGGCCGAAACGGCCGTCCAGTGTCCCCAAGTTCTCAATGGTGGTCTAACATTAATCGGTCCATGATCTTAATAAAAATCTGGTATGAATAGACCTACACTTATAATAATAATGTTATCTCATGAAATTTCTGGAATATTAAGACCGGAAAACTGGTAATAAACTTTGAAAAGCCAATAAATTTTTTTAAAAACAAACAAACTAATTTGTTTCGAAATGCTCTTGGTTTATACGAACTTATTGCTCAGTGACTAAAAAGTCCTTTCAAAATCAAGGAGCCAATTCAGCAATCGCTCAATCTCCTCCTTATACTATACTTTTATCTCATTAACCAATAAGTATATAATTACTATTTTACCATGGTGTTTTGTTTGGAAGAGTTCGTACTACTTGAAAACAATTCTCTCATTCCACTCACTGAGAGACTAGAACATTTTAAATTCAATCTTGTGAGTTTTAACGATAGAGAAGTTGAAAACTAGGATGATGAAATAGTTTTTCAGTGTTCCTTGCTTTTTTATTTTATCTTACATCAGTATCAGTTTATGGTAAGCAAAATATTGCCATAGTTTCTTAACTTTGAGTAATAATCCAAGCTCATATTGAGTTGAGAGTTATGGATTAGGCAGGACTTATCTTTCTTTGTATATTTCAAACGTAGAACCTGATAAACCACATCGTCATCAACCGCCACCTCAACCTACTGATCATGACCAAACAAAACGTTTAGTCGATAAACCAAGCCCAAAACCAGGCAGAAGATCAGGCCATGGAATGGTTTCAGGTTAGTAATTTTTTAATACCTTGATGTTCTTTCAAACTAAATTATTGTTTGTTTGTCTTTTGGAAAAAAGCTACGAGGTTTCAGTTATATATTACTGATGGGTGCTCGTAATTATATCTGAAACAGCAAGGGGAAAAACCGTAGATGAAGCTGGGTTCGGGGTTATTGCTGGTGTTTTTCTCGGTTTTACAATCCCCTTATGATCACTTTGAAAATCACAAGGAAATTTCTGTCACCATTTGTGCATCATATGAGTATAGGAAGATACTTTGTTGCAAATAAGATTGAGTGACCGATTGATCTTCTCTGAATCTGGATTACAAATAAGATTAAATGGGTAGTCAAACATTTTCAAATTCTGTGATCCAGTCAAGACCCAATAAATTAGAGGATTCATCAGTACCATAGCATTTAGATTTGACTGTTGAATCACTAAATTTAACAATGCATTTGATAATTCCAGAAATTTTTACTGGGATGCTCGATGCATTTTTTATACAATCATTTGTAGAATGAATGCTTAACCAACTAAGTTCGTGCCGAGTTTTACGACAAAGCAAAAAGACATCAGATGCAGTGTCCAACTGCAAAGTCATGATACATTCATTAACACTAATGGATAAGTACTTACGTGAGCATCAGGGGTTAACATAACTGATTCTTTTTGGCATCCGATAATGAGATGAGGGTTTGTTGCGTTTGAACAATCCTTCCTTATGACCCGTTACTCTACATTTTGCTCATTTATATTTCTTGAATGGGCGGAAGCAGGAAAAATGCCATGTGCCACAGTTCCAATAAGTAGTGGAAGACCTGATTAACTCTCTATAGCACATACACGTGTGTGTGTTAAGAATCGTAGACTTGATGGTTTTTTTCTTCAGTAGAATTGTTATCCTCCTCAACAGTGCTCATCTACGATCCCGTACGTGGGTTTCGAACCTATGACTTCGGTCTCACGCGTGAATGCTTCAGCTCTAGACCACTGAGCCGGAACCTAACGGTTTCACTGAAATTTTGTTGAAATAAGACAGATCCGATTTTTGTACACTGTTATGGTTTTAGACATAACTAGCACTGTCATATAGTCTATAGTATGTTTTGTGAACAATCCTTATTTGAATATTTCACGAGACATTTTTCCCTTGATTTTGTATGCTTCAAGAATTAAAGTCTACAATATCTTGCATATATTTTTGTAATAATCACACTATATTCTAAACAAAAATCAATGTGTTTGTTTACACGTAACTCAGTTGTTTTGTCAAAGATTCGATAGAATTAACCTCTTCAGTAGACTGTTTACTTGATTATGCGGTTAGATTTGCTGAATTCAATGAATATCAAAGACCACTGAATATCTGTTTAATCCTAATTTGATACCTATCTGCATAGCTCTGTTTAAAGTAATCAAGGTTTCTAGTTGTATGAAAGCGGTATTGTTATTAAAACAGGTAATGGGCTTCATAATCTATCATATAAACTGAAGGGCATAATGAGCATTTAGTTAATTGATGAAAGATCATATATATCGATTATTTATTTATTTATTTGAACACATAAATATTGGTACAAGAGGGCAACAAATATATATGCGCCACACCATATTTGTGTGTGTGGACTTTGATACTGCCCGGGTGCCCAGACCGAAGCAGGTGGTTTTCGTAGGGGGCCACACCCCGAGCCTTTGACCTAAAGGTCTGATCCACAAGGCAGTGGAGCATCGTGAGGAGATGCAGTTCCATGGTAGCCTGTGACCAACGATTGGTTCATACGCCATTTGTTCCTTCAGGATACTGGAGCCCATGTGCACCATTGGTTTGGGATTCGGTTAGAGCGCCGGACATTCGCCTTTCGTCCTCTCATTTTCATAAACAACACCCCCGCCATGAGAAGTCAGTGAGTAGGACTTCCCTGGCAGAGGCTGTATACGCGTGGCAATGTGAGAGCATTTCGAGAGGGAGGGCGGGCCCACCCCACTCTCGTCATACCAGGGCATTTGGGGGCATATACCGGGGCATATATACCGATAATCATAATTATGAGATACATGAAATGATTAAATCTAAGGACTCTAAAAGCAAATCACATTTCTTAGATCTTAGAAATAATTTTCTGATTTGATTTTTTTTTAGTTGATGAAAATTATTATGTAAATGTACCTGGTTCAGGTCCACCAGTTATTCGTCCACCATACAATGGACACAAGAGATCACTGCAAGATTTAAGTGAACGTTCCGGCCCTCATAGTGCTTATGATCCTAGATTGGGCGATACAGTTATTCAACCAAGTAAACCTAGAACCAGTGATAGAATATCGGATCAAATGCCTGATTATTATGATCAATATACATCGGATGAAAGTGATTATGATGATTCAGGAGAATCGGATGAAGAACTTAGGCCGCCAGCACTACGTACAATAACTCAGACAAGGAGACGATCTGAACCAGAACCGTCGAGTATGTAAATTTCTAGTTACACAATTACTTTTATGGAATATTTTTGGTTATTTATGGAACTCAATAGAATCAAATTTTATAAATTATTCTGTAACTATTTGAAAAAAATAACAGTCAGTCATCCTGTTACGTATTTGATTTGGTTCAAGCTGTTTAACACAAGGAGTTGATTTGAGATGAGTAAGAAAGGAGTTGAAATATTCTTAGAACCGATGACGTTGAGATTAACTAACCATAAAAAGTATGGTGTGAAAAGACAGAGTAGGATATTATGCATGAAAGAATACTGGGGCTCAAGATCTATAAGGAGATAAAAAGTGAATATTTTTACGCGACTGTTACTGATTTTAAGCCATGTCATCCAATGTTCTCAACCACTGTTTTCATTCTTCTCGAGGATCTTCAACCGATAATCTGGTTTTACCTATACGGCTCAAACTAACAGCTAATGAATTCTCGATTATCTTATTATTATTGTTAGCTTTATTCGCTGTTAGATTTTTGGTACAATATAAAGTTCTCAGCACAAAGTATTTCAACAAGTTTCCGTTTCTTACTTCTTTGTCGATCCTGATGACAGATATTGAGTGGTCGCTGGCTAGAAGTTTTAGCAGTTCAGGAATCGACATCTGATGACAGGAACAGGTAGTCCAGATGTTCAAGCATTAATAATACTCATTAAAAATACCATAAAGATGTACTAAGAATTTAAAATACACTATATTTTTTTCGCATCGTTACACAGTTACAATAAATTACATTAACATCAAACTGGATAATAGACTGACTACATAATTCAGTTTGCCATTCCTAGTCATTTCTCAATCTTTCGACTACCATAACGGGTTGGGCAATCGGATGGTTGTGGAATATGAAAGTAACTGATTGACTCGAGACACATTCCATTAATTAGAAGAGTGTTTCTTAAAATTTTAGATTTTGTGTGTTTGGTGGTAAATTTAGACAGTTTGGTGGATTATCGACTTCATGATTTGCGATATCTTAAATGTAAATTTAGTTAACTATAGAAAAGTCCTTGCTACAGCTTACAACTACACTCTTTACTTATCAGTATCGTCTAAAAGTTGGTTACCTAGTCAGTTTATTTACCAAATTTATCTGAATACTGCTCCGACTAAGTTATACATAATGTTATCTACCAAACGAATGTTATGTAAAGTTTAATGTAAGCCTCTGTATCTGATTGTGAATGATTTGTTATTCGGTTAGATGATCAATATGAATGCTTTCTTCACAAAACATGAGTATCAAAACAGAGATGTTCTGACATTTTGACCTTTCTCTAAATTGAAACCTATTATATAAATGATGGATAGTGGCTAGCAGTGGAGTCCTGCTTATGCAATGAGGTGAAGTTTAAATTCATTTGGTGCCGTTCTACTTGTAGCTAAGTGGATAACGCGATGGCGTTTGGAGCGAACAGTGCTGGGTTCGAGTCCCAGAGTGAACGTCAACTCCGAGATTCAAGTACACCCACCTGACGAGTCCCAAATAGGACGGAACGCGTGTCAAACTGGACTCCACTGCTAGCCACTATCCGTTTTTTGCTCAAAAACCTTGCGACTTAAGGCTATATCGAGGCAATCCTCACAGGGATGCACATATGTCAACATGACACTGCTCGATTGCAGTTCTAAATAATAATGAGAAGATACAAGTAAAACAACACCAAGTGAATCTATTATATGAAATGCTAATATTAACTAAATTTATCAGGTACTTAATTATTATTGAGTTGTTTATTGATTATTTATTTACAAATGCCCAATGAAGACAATTATCCACCTGTACAATTAAGAAAACAGTCAAAAGGACAAAAAACTGGACAATCAATCACATCAATTCGTGATAGTCTTATTAGTCCTGAAGGTATGTCAATTCCTTCCACTCCGGGTTATGAAAATATTTATGGTATTTATTATAATGATAAAACAGGTAAATACATGAAAGGACTAGATCGTGATCATTCAAATGGAATGTCACAAGAACGTATATCACGACCACGTTCTAAACATACAACTGCAACAAGTCGAAGTTCTGGTTATTACGGTGTTAATGGTAAGTAATTATGGAATCAAATTAATGGGCTGATCAAATTTTTAATTAAAAGAAGAATTTTCACTATCTGGACTAAAATATTAAAAGTACATAGATAGTGTTGGGAGTTCATGAATGTCCTTCGACAAAGTCTAGAAATCCAGGCTGAAAATGTTCCATCCAATCATCATTGAACAGAAGCTACGCAGAAACATAGGGGAAGATTATTTGTCAAGTTTGGATTGTATAATTATTTATATTGTTACCATATTCAGCATGCTCTCAGAAGTCTCTAGGAAAGAAAGGTCATCTGAAAACCCATAAACACACCTGACTGTTCGTCCATAAATTAATCTTGGAGTAAAACTTTTGCTCATATTTATCACCTTTTCTCTGTTGATCAAGTTAAGTGTAGTAATAGTTTATGACTATAGGTGGCTGAGAGGTCAATATCAAGCTTTCAATTGGAAGATTTATCAAAGAGTGTGTGTGTGTGAATATAAACACATTCATTCATACACATGACTTTTAGCTATGATCGTTATTTGTGATAGTCATGTGTACTGAGGTATGTTAAGTTTAATTCGAACCAACAACCAGTTGGTTGAAAGCTAAGCTCTTTTGCGTTTGAACAACTTCCAAGCAAGTAATTGGATGTTAGACTAGAGTTTGGTTCTATTTTTGGAGGTAGTTGCTATTCTACATTTGATACATGTGGGCTAATGAACCATTTCACTTTGCCAAATATTTCATCTTCTTTGAAATCTGGACCCAATGAATTAGGGAATAATCCAAGGTGAAAAAATGGAATTCATTTAGTATACTACTTTTATTATCCATTAACATACTGTGTAGCCTGACAATAGAATGTTCTCTAGTTGAAACTCAACTTTAAATCTGTTTATTCGGCTGACGTTTTTTTGTAATAATTTTTGTGTAAATCATTATATACATGCTACTTGGCTGATCATTTTAGTGGTGAATGATACAAGTAAGTTGCGTTTAATATTTTAACGATCATCATAACATCAGTACATTGTTTTGCAAAGATTGTAAACTTTTCATAGTCTAAATCACGAACCGATCTTAAATAGACTACTATTGAAAATCAGAGAGAACTGAATGACTATTTCACCCTAGTATGTTGTGACTCATCAGAGGTGTGCATCCATAACTAGTTTGAAGTTGCCACTGCTGGAGTTCCATTGAGACTGTGACCACTGGAGTTAAACCATATCAAGTGTCAAACAATTATCCTCATCAAGTAATGGATGAGAATTGAACATTATCATGAATCAATTGAAATTAGACACACAAACTGTTGGATTATGAGTCAGTGTTCTATAAGTTAATTGTTCACTTGTGAGATCGATGATCCTGGGTTCGATTACTCATGGTAGGATTGTGAATGTGCATTACTGATGAGCTTTATGCTAGGATGGAACATCTGTTCAGTAGTTCCAGGTTTTTATAATGATCTAAGTGAGATCAGTTCGTGATTTAAAAGCTACGAATAGATCATCATACTATTTAAAAAAATTGTTCATCATTTATTCATTTTGTTGATGAGTCTTTTCCCTATTATTAATAAACTTCTATTGTAATATTTGATGTAACTTCGGTTTCATCTAACATATTCATACATAGATATCTTAAAGGAGAAAAAGAAATTAGATATAATTCGCAGCCAAGCTTTGTGTTTGAACTCACGCTGAGTTATGTGTTCCAACTGTTTAGTGATTTCTTAGTGTTATCAGTCCTCGGAAATCAGTTAAATAAATAATTGGCGACACTATAATTTAAAGACGAACGAATCAGATTTAAGTTAACAGGTCTCGGATTTTGGCGCGTAACTCATTCATCCAACTGGCTAAATAGTTTTGGCACTACAGCTGATGTCAGTTTGTGAGGATAACCCGAAATCTAATTCCTAACCTTAACTATCAACTGTAAATCATAATTCTAATTCCCCACACTGTTTTGTAACCCTTATTTAGTCTTAGTTAGTAGGTGAACACTCTCAAGGTCAGTTTAGCGTCACTCAAAGGTCGTTCATAAATCATAGTCTCAGCAAATAATTTATAATTCAGAACATTTGTTGAAATTAATCACTGACTGATTTATACGACACTTCAGCAGTACGCATCCATGAAACCACCAAGTATTCAACCTATTATCTTCAGGTCTCGCAGTGAACTTTCAACTTCAAACCATATTAAATACATGATACTGTGGAACTATTATACATTCCCAATGATAATATTATATTCTTTCGTACCTGATATGATCAAAATCTTCTAGTCATATCCATTTCTTCCCGTACTATGTCTTTATATGCAATCTTTCTTTTATATATTACCACCATTGAATTAACTACTTCTATGAATCCGATGTTCATGTTGCTTTGCTAATTAAGGTATGGTAACTTGGACCGATGTACATATGTGTGTGGTTCTATGTTGTAACTGACTGACTGACTTCTAATCACTTCTCTTAATGTTTCTCACTAGTAAACATGAAGTGAATTGTTACTGAAAGAGTGATTTAAGAGTTTGGTAAACCTTGTAATTTTTATATTTTCCGTTAACTAACTTCAATTACATTCGAATGGAAAATTAATGGTTTTTAAGTTAACTAGATACTATGTGACTTATTTTTTCTTCAAAAAAGAAACATCTCACCCTAACTTTACTTCTGTCATCATTGATCAATCGATTTCTGTATGGAAACTGGTAGCAGGTTTGCCTATTTGAAATTTATTTCTAATATAACCTGTATAACAAGAGCATAGATACAACTAACATACATTTTCATCACCAGTTTGTATGAAGAAAATTAACATACATCAGATGTTTCTGTTAACAACCAAATCAAATAATTGTTGCCATTATTTGTCACGAATAATTAAGTTTAGTTAACTGAATTTATGACTTATTTTCATTTAAACACATAAACATTGGTACAAGGAGGCACCAAACAGATATGCACCACATAAATCATTTGATTTATGTGAAGGCTGGGATACTTTCTGGGTGCTCAAACGGAAGCAGTTGGTTTTCTTAGGGGGCCACATTCGGAGTCTTCGACCTAATCCATAAGGCAGTAGAGCGACGTCTGGAGACGCAGTTCCATGGTGGCCATTGACCAACGATTGGTTCATACTCCATTTGTTCCTTCAGGATACTGAAGCCCATATACACCATTGATTTAGAATCAGGATTTTCCAACTCCCCTAGGTGGATCCTCCATATCGACCAAGGCGGTAAAAGCGCCGGACATTCACTTTTCGTCCTCTTGATTTCGTAAACAACACCCCCACCACGAGAAAATAGTGAGTAGAACTTCCTTGTCAGTGGTTGTATGCACGTGGCCATGTGTGAGCATTCGAGAGAGAGAAGGAGAGAGAGCTGATTCTCCCCACTCTCTTTCGTACCAAGGCATTTGGGGGCATTTAACTGAATAGAGTAAACTACAGCGAAGGAAATATTGAAGTCACCACATTCAAAATCTTCGATGTCAGTTAACTAATTTTTAAATATTAATTAGAACTAAAGATCCACACAAGAAGCAGTAGTAATCATAAAACTTCATATTATTTCCTACTGATGACTATGAACAACCAGACTCAGGGATTTATGTCTTTTAGATACAATTGTTCAGTAAATAACACTGTATAGTTAGTTACAAAGTGACCTAATCATACAGCTACCTCTTGAAGACCAAATTTTGTCGTATACTAACTAAACAATGAGAAGCTTACATAAAGTACTGATTTATTATTTAGGATAAAGTTTTAGTCTAAAGGAAGAATTTTTTCGAAAATTAAGTATTCTTCTTGAATATCCTGTCAAGATAGTTGATTATTCATAGACAACGTAAGATCTGGTAGAAAATTGTCCATAGTTTTAAGTTGATACAATTCATACCATGTAGCAAGACGATCAGAGGAGACAATAATATCAGATGTATCCGTAAGAGTCTGTACTTTCCAGTTCTTGACGTTTGTTGATCCGTATCATCATGGGTGATAGAAACCTACAAACACATACGAATAAAATTGATACCTGTTGCACCAACCGTTGACTTGCTCGACTCATTAGCTTAGTGGATAACGTGTTAGAACTTGAAATAAAAACAACTGGATTAAAGTTCTAATCTGAACACCAACACCGGGATGCAACTACACTAGATGCCAAGTTTCGAACGGGACGAAGAGAGAATTCTGGATTCCACTGCTATTCACTATCCAACTTTAATAAAAGTAGTAATTGTAGTATAAGGCCAAATGTAGGAAGGGTATTTTAAAAGGTGCGAATGGAAGTAAAGAACGAACAGTAAGGAATTGTTGTGATTCGCTGTGTCCAGTAATGATACTGACGTGCAATTTTCCTATATACCTATATGCCTTAGAAAATTAAGCCACCGGCGATGTATATTTTCTTCCCTAGAAATTCAAGCTACTTTTTGACTAATCACATGTGCTTAGCATTTGACTGATTTCTGATACACCCGGTGTATAACTTTTTCCTCTTAAATAAGAGGTCTGGCTTCTCAGAGTCAGCTGAATATAGTGGAATACAGGCGCATCATAAATGACATTAAACTCAAGATTTTAAAAAAGATCACTGATGTATCCAAGTCCAATATTGTAATTGTCATAGATTACAAATATCTTACGATTTTCAACTTGATATTCTACAACTACCGACGTAGTTCAAACTGATAATCGATAATTTCAACAACTGATACCATATCTTGGTTTCCCAACCACTAACTTTGTTTCAACTTAATCCTAAGTCAGTCAGTCTTATGCATTGGGTTAGATATGGTAAATGGATTCCACTATGTAAGGCAACTGATGTTTACATTATCATACCTCCGTCAAGCTATACACTTCACCTTAGCATTATTCACCTAATGGTTACATTACACGAGAGAAATGTTTTGAATATCTACCAGCTTTATATATCTTTCCGTTTTAGGGGCCATGTTCATATGTACTATACTTATATAAGTTAGCTAAAAATTATCAGAACATTGAACAACTTCATTAGTTGGTAGTATATAAGTAAATCGAATAAACGCTTTTTATAATCGTATATGTTTTTTCTAAGGTTCAAAACACAGTTTAATAATCAGTACAAAACGTCGAACACTAAGCGGTCTAACTGGTACCCATCCATCAAAACATCGTTCCAGTTCAATGAATACTTTATGGTTCGGTGATCATCCTGTACCATCGGAACATACAATCTCGCCAGCTACACCAGTTAGATTATCAAATATACAAATACAAGCTCAAGCAGAACTTGAACGTCGACACAGATCATCTTCACATGGACATAGTTTAGATAGAAAATCTATATATAGCACAGGAATGACAGAAAGTCATTTGTCCAAAGGTTTAAGTGATTATCATCAAGGTTATGAAGGAATTGGTTATGCATATGATAATCGAGGAAGATTAATACATGGTGGTGCATGTTTACCTGAACGTTCAGCTAGTCGTAAACGTCGATTATTAGATGGTCATGAAAGTTTATCAAGAGTATGGATACCACAAAGTGGTGAACACTATCCAATTAAACAAATATCTGATAAGACACCTAGTTCGCTAATGAGTAAGTTCTTATTTTCGGTATATATATATATATATATATATATATATATATATATATATATATATATATATATATATATATAACATGCTTAACATAGAAATTAGCTTAAGGTTAGTGTCGATTAACATTCGATACTTATTACTTGGTAAAACAGTAACTCTTAAGAAATGTAGAATTTGACACATATACACATAGATTCAAGTTACCACGCCACATTAGCACAGCGAAATGAAATTATCAAGAGGAATACTAGAATAGTAGAAATAGTAATGGTATCAGTATTTGGTGTAAACAATGACTGGAGAAAAAGAATGACTTCACAGAATAAAAACTCTAGGGTAATTTTAAAGCTCGAAATCTAAGAAGAAGAAAGTGAATACATCTGTATTATTAAGACATATTCTGGGTCGTGTCATCCAACATCTCCAACCATTATTGAGCTGCACCAACCAACATGGCTCTATCTCACAGTCAATGACTTCATAGACCTATTCCTATATCATTAAGCTTTGCAAATCAAGGTCGTTGATCCCTTGGCATCATAATACATGTCCCAACCATCTTTTAGATAACAGACGATTGTGATTAGTTTTAACTTGTAAAATTATTCCAGTCAGGAGTAAAAGTGATGAAATAAGTGGTTAGGATAAAGTTGAAAAATATAGACTTTGTAATTTTAAATCATTGGGACTGTAAGATATTCATAGTTTAAATCACAAACTGATCTCACTTAGATCATTATAGAAGCCTGGAACTACTGAACAGATGTTCCATCCTAGTATAAAGCTCATCAGTAATGCACATTTACAATCCTACCATGAGCAATCGAACCCAGGATAATCGATCTTACATGTGGACAATTAACTTATAGAACACTAACTCACAATCCAACAGTTTGTGTGTCTAATTTCAATTGATTGATGATAATGCTTAACTCTCATCCATTAGTTGATGAGGATAATTGTTTCACACTTGATATGGTTTAACTCCACTGGTCACAGCTTCTAACTTACGAGTAAATAAGTGTAATTATCTTGTAATCTTAAGTGATTATGTACTATCTCTTGTGTTTTTTTTGTCATTTCGGATTCTCTGTCCGTGTGATTTTTGATGAACTGAATATACGAAAATAATCTATACAATAATTTTTAGCAAAGAAGTTAAAATTGAAAAATTCTAAATAAAAACCATCTCAAAGTTACTGACATTTGTCTAGAGAGACGATAAGAAAGACCGAATAATAGTTAGTTCTATGAGTACTAGATTGAATTGAAATGATAGAAGAAGGAATGAACAATAATATGTGATATGATGAGTCATTTCAAGAAATATAACTTCTATGGACATCCAAGGTAGTTTCATTAGTGGTATTGGAGTTAAGGCAAGTATAATGCTACAAGTGGAAGGAATTTTGGAAGTGATAGAATTTATATAAAATGAAAATTGATGTCCTCAGTTTGCTTAGTTATTGAACAGTAAACGTATATTTATGTATTAGAATGCATAGTTGACATATACATTCAGAATCAATTATATTCATAATCTTCTCTTATTTCAAAGTACTTTTCTTAGTTTCTTTTTAATATTTCAATGATTGTCGTAACTTTAACAGATCAATATATGTATAACGTAATGATACCGCCAATTAGAGAGCAGTAATTTATCGACCAGACCAATGACATATAAAACAAGTACGAACAGCCTAGAGTCCATATCGGTCCTGCTTCCCGCCTAGCCCTGACTATTACGTCCAGAACACTAATCTCAACCTCTGCGATATGAATCATTTATTTCAAGCATAATAGGTTTATATACCAACCAGACAGACCACATTGTGCCATAAAATAGGAAACGACATTTGTACAAGAATTAGCCAAAAATAGTTGTGAATGTAGGAGATAATAATTAATAGACGGGGCATAACTCAAGAATAGTATAATAGCAGTTTAATAACAGTTAATAGGTCCATAGGGACACGAATATGAATAGTTTAGTTACTTAACAATTATACAATAAAAATATATCAGTTTAGGGGTTGTGGAAATTGTTAAGTTTTTGACTGAAATCATGAGTCAATTGAAGGTGGACCATGGAAAACCTGGAAGCACTGGACAGCTGTTTTGTCTTAGTATGGGACACCTCAGCAGTGCGCATCCACGATCCCGCACCCCACGAGATTCGAACCCAAAACCTATCAGTCTCGCGCCAGGAGCTTAATATATGTATAATATTATTCTATAAATGGATCGAAATAGTTACTATTCAATATTATCGTCAGGATATAACAGAGCTTTTGTTTTAACCGAAGTTAAATTTTTTCCATGCTAATTTTAATTACATAATTGACCAAAGATTGTTAAACTATTCATTGTTTTATAAATATGAAACCCTATGTACACCATTAGTGTATAATCAAGGTTCCTCAGTTCCACTTTGATGAATTCTTCATATCTACCAAATCCATTTAATTACCGGATATCATCGCATATCCTTTCACTTTTTCGGAACACTGCCACTAAGACAATATGAGTCGAAATGTTTCAAGGAATAATTTTACTTGATGGTACTACATAGTCTGTAAATTCCTCCTGGACACTTTATCCTTACTTACTTACTTACTTACTTAATTACGCCTGTTACTCCTCGTGAAGGAGCATAGACCGCTCACCAGCATTTCCCATCCAACCCTGTCCTGGGCAGTCCTTTCCAGATCCTTCCAGTTCCTATTGATGGACACTTTATCCTGTTTTTTATTTATTAACTAATCAGCTTAAATCAACTAATCATTTTTCCATCATAATTTTAGATTGATTAAGAATGTATAGAAATAGCTATGCTTCTCTGAGTTAATAATGTTTCACAGTTTCAAATCAGATATTACCATCTGAAGTTCTTGTAGCTTAGTTAGACATAAGGTATAGTGAAAATATAAATTATATTTATTGTTTCTTTGATTGTTACCAGTATAAATCCGTTCTTATTATCCTACAAATGTACCCAGGACGAGACGGCCGTCTACTGCTTCCAGGTTTTCAATGGTGATCTAGCTTAGATTGACTCATGAATTCAACTATTCTCATTATTATCAGAAGGGGTTTTGTGGAGATTTTAGTAATTTCAGTAGTTGAAATCATGAGTCAATCGAAGCTAGACCACCATAGGAAACCTGTAAGCGCTGGACGACCGTTTCGCCCTATTATGGAACTCCTCAACAGTGCGCATCCACGGTCCCCCGCGAGATTCAAACCCAGGACCTATCAGTCCCACGCGTGAGCGCTTAACCATTAGACCACTCATCCGGCCGACATCCAATTGTGTTAATGTTAAACTTCAACCAATCATTATCTTGCAAATGTACCAGTTATGTGATATATAATTTCAATTTGATATATAATGTTCATTACGTTAAACAATGTTCTGAAATCTATGTCATATCATTTAATAGCTCGAAAGAGTCTTATAGAAGGACGAGACGACCGTCTATTGCTTCCAGGTTTTCAGTGGTGATCTAGCTTAGATTGACTCATGAATACAGGTATTAAAATTATTACAATCTCTACAAATTCCCATTTTGATCAGTATAAATAGTTTTTTTTTCTGTCCTTTTGATATTCTTTTTCTATTGATTGTCATATAGATCGTGATGAACGGCAAGCACAATTGGATAATTCAGCGATGGCATTTGCTTTACGGGATTTCAATGCGCCTAAAATTCGGTGAGCTCAAACAATATAACAGTAATATTCACATTACATCTATAATATTATCTATCTATCTATCTATCTAGACAGAAACGGGTTTCGAATAAATCACATCGGAATCATGATGATGATAATGCTAATATTAATAGTAATAATAATAATAATAATAATAATAATAATAATAATAATAATGATAATAATAATATTAAACGTGTAACCCATCGTACCGCTATACGCAACAAATCAGATAGCATTAAGAAACATCAATACAGACCATCCATTCTCAATTGTTGTATGCGATAATCTTACATTTCTTTGCTTATATCATCATGATCATTATTATCTGATTGGCAATGTTTTAATTAACCCTGATTATAATTGATTTATTTTATTCATTATTATTATATTTTCTTATGATTCCATTTATTTTTTAATTGAGTAAACTAATTTCTATACCTGCATAGTGATTAACCTTAATCTATGGCTGTGACCTTCATGAAAAGTTTTGGCTTGTGTTCAATTTTTTTTTTATCTTAGTTACATCCACAAGTTGTGTGTGTGTGTGTGTGTGTGTTTATGTTACCCAAGCACTTAAACTATCAACACAAAAACAGAAAACATATCAGTCCAGTTTAATTTTTCCTTTTTTAATGTTTTTAACCAAGAAATATGAATAATTTGTTTGTTTATTATTTTGTTTTTATTTACACCGTTTTCAATCAGTATATTCCCTGATTGCTGTGAATATTACCGAATAACAAAAGCAGTTTTTTGACTTATATTTTTTTACTACTGATTATAATAATATCAGTAGTAATATTAGTTCTCAGAGATTTTATACTCGTGTATGTGCGTGAATTAAAAGATATTTCTAGATTCTATGTCCATAGTATCATCGTTTCCTAACATACTATAAGGTTGGTTGTATTAGAAGGGGGTTTTATGGAGTGTTCTCTCACTACAATGCTACTTGGGTTGCCTAAAATGGAGTAGATAAAGTGTGATTTGAAGTTGTAACATATCATTCGAAAGTCGAGTAAGTTAACCGCTAAACTATTGGCTCTTTCACTCTAATGATTATTAAATTGACAATTGAGAGTTGTGAGCATCCACGACCCCGCCTGCCGAGATTCAAACACAGGACCTACTGGTTTTGCACGCAAACGCCTAATCTCTAGACCATCCAACGGTGTTGATGTCTAACATCAACTAATCCACGAAATTGAGCCACACATCCACCATTGTCATCAGTGAGTTACTATCTCACAATAGACCCGGTTGAACTCCACCGGTCACTGCTTCTCACTAGAACTCCAAGAAGTAGTTCTTGAAGCCAGTCTGTAGTGAGTATATGTTGATTAATATCAGAAGGGATTTTGTGGATATTATAGTAATTTCAATGGTTAAAATCATGAGTCAATTGAAGTTAGATCAACATGAAAAACTTGGAAGTACTGTTTGACGGTAGCTTCGTGCTATTGCGGGACTCCTCAGCAGTGTACACTCACGATATTTGTCTGTTATTTTCATGAGTAGTATAATATTTGTCGTGTAAAATGTGTAGATGACTGAAAGAACGATAGAAAAATTAGAAAACAGACAAAAACAAAACAACAACACTGCATGAGTGAATCTCTGAGTCAGTAATTATTTAAAGTAATCTAACATCATGTGTTAAAAAATCAATAGTTTTGTTCCGTTAACTTATATTTCAATACAATATAAACTGTTTCAAACCGTATATTTAATATACATCTACGTTATTGACAATCAATTTTAATTTGTATGTTTACCATTTAATATGTCAATGATTATGTTTAATGCCTATTTCAATGTTTTAGTACTTAAAGGGCAGGACTATAATTTATGGACGAACCAATCACGTATAAGATAACAGGTCTCGGATTTCGGCGCGAAATTCACCCATCCATTTGGCTGAATAGAGTTTTGACACTACAGCTGATGCCAGTTTGTAATGAAAACCCTAAATCTAATTTTTGACCTTAATCATCAACTGTAAACCATAATTCTAATTCTTCACACTGGTTTATAACCCTCATTTGATCCTGGTCAAATACATAAACTGGTATGTGGTAAGCGAATATAACAGTAGCATTAATAATAGCACACATATCTAAGACTCCTGGAAAAAAAACTGTTGCTCCTCGTGGAGCACCACTTTCTGGTTAACATCTTTTTATTAAGATTGTGTTTTACGGTATTGGGTTACTGACCTTATGCTCAACCCTCCTCCTTTACCCGGGCTTGGGACCGACAATAACCCTAGAAGAGTTACAGGCAGAGTAAAAAACCATTACTGTCCCATAAATTTGAAAACACTTTATTCTACAGTACACCTTGTATGTAAGGTAAGCAGTAAAGAGCCCATAAATAATTTGCTCATAAAAACATATTACTCCATTAAATTTATTTTGTGATGCTAATTATCGTCATATTATCTTGATGAGTGTTACGTAGTTTGAGGTAGGTGGCAGGAAACTGTGATTGTTTTAGGCCCCATGATAGTTGATATTGGTTAAAAAGGTTTGGTCGCAAATTTGAAGGAAACCAATGCTACTTATAGCATTTGAACCAACGTCACATTGCCTCATAGTCTGAATATGAATATTAGTATTAATAATAAAATAATAATAACAATAGTAGTAGTAGTAGTGTGGTGTATGCTACTGGTGTTGACACGTATAAGCAGTTTGTATCACCATTCGAAAGTGGAATGACTGGCATCAGAAGGTTGACAAAATCGAAGAGAAGAGTGGTTGATGTGGGAACGAAGGAACAACAAAGTCTGAGACAATTGATGGATATTTTGCAAATGAAGTATTTACTGTATAGTTCTAAAATTTTACTAAGAGATTCTGTAATTTTATATCCGCATATATATGGTTGTCCCAACTTGTGTTCTCGTTCACTACAGCAGTAGTAGTAGTAGTAGTAACAGTAGTACAGAAAGATCCACGAATTAAATATGATCATAAAAATAATTTATTTAAAATTATTGTTTGATTTGCGTCTGTTATGAGTCACCCGTGCTTCTGGCTTACGGGCTGGGACGCATCGAATAGCTAGCTTATTGGTCTACGGTCACAAGTCTTTGTTCCATTCGCATACTATGTGAACTTGTAATAGCTTCAAACCTAGCAAATATGCAAAAAGGCAGTAAGCAGTTTATTGCTTATTAGAGCCGGTTATTTATAAGTTTTATATATAGAAATTTGAATTCTAAACAACGGTACATTGAATATATGTTTCTGTGTTGATTTGACATTATAATGTTATTTAGATAGATTCCACCTCAAGGGAAAGAGGAGAGGATACTTTTAAAACTCTATGGGTATTTATTATTTTCGTTTTAAGTGAAAACTGTTGAATATAAAATAGAATTTCAATATTAAAAAGAAGAATATATTTGTAAAATCTCAGCGAATGAATTTTAAGTAAATCCAACGTTTCGCCTGGCAATCTGGTCCAAGCTTTTTCAAGGAAAATATAATCAAACAACAAAATTATCGATAATTTTACAAATATATTCTTCTTTTTAATGTCTCAAATTAACTCGGCGCCCAAATATTGTGAAACTATTCGTTCAAATTTAGACGAAAGTTCTTATTTAGAATTTCAATAGTTGAATTCATGAGTCTATCTAAGCTAGACTACCATTGAAAAATCTGGAAGCACTGGACGACCGTTCATACTAGTATGGGACTCCTCAGCAGTGTCCATTCATGATCTCACTCAAAAACTCAACAACCTATGCCATCATGTGCTCACTAGTGACTAGCTTTGATAGGTAATTCTCGGAGTTCTAATGAGAAGCCGTGACCAGTGGCAATTAGTTACTGAAGACAATGGAAGATGATTGTGCAATTTCGTGGATTGGTTAAGGTTAGACATTAACACCGTTGGATGTCGGCCCAGTGGTGCTTACAGGTTAAGCATTTGTGCGCGAGACTGAAGTTCCTGAGTTTGAATCCTGCTTGAGGGGTTGTGAATACACACTGGTGAGGAGTCCCACACGAAGACGAAATGACTATCCACTGCTTCCAGGTTTGCCATGGTGGGTCTAGCTTCAATCGATTCATGATCTCAACTATTGAAATTACTATAATATCCACAAAAAACCTCTTCTGATATTATTCAACATATACTCACTAGTGACTGGCTTCAAGAGGTATTTCCTGGAGTTCTAGTAAGAAGCAGTGACCGGTGGAGTTCAACCGGGTCTGTTGTGAGATAGGAACTCACTGAAGACAATGGTGGATGTGTCGCTCAATTTCGTGGATTAGTTGAAGTTAGACATTAACACCGTTGGACGCCGACTCAGTGGTCTAGTTGGTTAAGCGCCTGGCGCGGGACTGATATGCTCTGAGTTCGGATCCCGCAAGGCGGGATCGTGGATGCGCGTTGATGAGGGGTCTCACAATAGGACGAAACGGCCGTGCAGTGCTTCTAGGTTTTCCATGGTGGTCTAACTTTAACTGACTCATGATCTCAACTGTTGAAAGTCTAACAATCACCAATTTGTCTTAGATTGACTCATGAACTCAACTATTAAAATTGCTACAATCTACAGAAATCCCAATTCCGCTAAAATAAAATTGTTACGTTTGTTAAGTTGGTGAATATGACAAATCACATTGTAATCAATTAAGTGTTCTTGACAGCAACTTGAATTCATTTCAAATATTCATACAAATAGCTCGTTTTCCTATCCTTTCATAGACATTAACCGGGAACAACTTGATGAGTACATATTCCTTTGTTTCATTTAATTTAATCTAATACAAATATCATCATTAATAACAAATTATTTTAATAGCGTTTCATAACTTCTTAACTTGTTATGACAGCTTATACAACACTAATTCTCTTTATGTTCTTATCTATTGATGATTTCATTTTAGTAATTTAACACTTTTTATTCATAGTGTAGAGGTGTTCTGTAGATTGTTAGATTTAACATTTCATATGGCATAGTGATTGCAGTTAGTCATCTATTGAAAACCAAGAAGTTAAAGACAAATATCTCATCCTAACATACAAATCTTCCATTATAAGAATCTACGATCACATGGGGATCAAACTCAAGATCTCCGTGTCTCGGATCAGTTTCTTGATATTTAGACTATTAGGATGTTGTTATACGGTGATCTATATTTCTAACTTGGGTTAATTAGTGATTATGAACAGCCCTCATCAATTGAGATTGGTGATATTTGTTTCACGTCCTGTACATTCTCACTAGAACTCTTGGTGAACATTTAATAAAGTTAATTACTAATAAGCGCATGATGAAAAGTCATTGAAAACCGCTGAGCACTAGACGGCTATTTCTGTCTTAGTCCGAAACTACTTTAACAACTCAAAGCCACAAAGTGCTTATATAATCGGTTTCGGAACATTCAGGTTTCAAGTAGAGCGTAGTGATTTTAGACCGCTGCATTGGCATGTTGCAATCAATATTTTCTACGTTGGTCACTCCATGATATATTGAAACTATCATCATCTAGCATCTTCAAGATTGTATACTTGATAAGTCACAATTTCTAACTGATACTTTAGGAAATTCTTCTTTTGAACTTATTCGCCATTAAATTTACGGTTACTACCTGAACCAGTGTTTTATGGAGAATAATTCAAGTAGATGTATTGATTAGTAGCTGTGTTCAACTAAGAGTTTCACTAACTAGCCCATGGAACGATATCAATTTAAAGTGAACAGATCTCCGTTGGATAGATTTTTTTAAAAGTTGAAGTGAGATGTAACCTATAGGAATACTATATCGACAATTAACCGAAGCTAAACATTTGTACCACTGTTAACGGACTCAATAATCTAAATGTGCGTGTGTCCTCTACGAAACCTGAATATTCATAAATTAATCACGTATAAGATGCTAAGTGTGTGGACATTATTAAAGAGTCCAACATGAGGATTAAAAAGGGCTATCAAGTTCATTTTGAGATTTTATAGTTCTATTCATAGATGTCAGTTTATGAAGTCACCAACTAACAACAAGTGAATTTCAAAAAGGAAGATTTGACTAAGAGGAAAGAGATAACATGTAGTGGAAACTTGAACAAATCACGTATATTTGCAAAGTGTACATATAAGACGGTCAAAGTAATTACCCACAATAGTCCCAATGCAACCAGTTGAATACAAAATGTATATAGACAAATTTTGTATACATTCATCCAGTCTTTAATATTTAAGTTTCCTACACACTTTTAATCTAGCTGAACAAATTCAAAATAGGAGAGAAAAGTTAAATCGAGAAATATATCATCTCAATAGTTGAGATCATGAGTCAATTAGAGCTAGACCAACATTGAAAACCTGGAAGCACAGGAAGACCGTCTCGTTCTATTATGGGACTCCTCAGCAGTGCACATCCAGATTCCGCCTCGCGAGATTCGAACCCAGGACCTATCAGTCTCGCGCGATTAACTATTGAAATTACTATAATATCCACAAAACCATTTCCGAAAATATATAATCGTCAAAAGACTTTCAAAACTAATAAATATTCATAGTTTCACATTAGAGTTTGAATTTGGTTAGTTCCAGTGAGAAGGTGAGATCAGTGGAGCTAAACTATGTAGGACGTGAAACAAATATCACCAATCTCAATTGATGAGGGCTGTTCATAATCACTAATTAACCAGAGTTAGAAATATAGATCACCGAATAACAACATCCTAATAATCTAAATATCAAGAAACTGATCCGAGACTCGGAGATCTTGAGTTTGATCCCCATGTGATCATAGATTCTTATAATGGAAGATTTGTATGTTAGGATGAGATATTTGTCTCTACCTTCTTGATTTTCGATATTTATATCTAACATCAGTTACTATGTGATACAAAATCACAAATTTTTCATCAAATCGGTGTCATTCTGCAAAAAAGGACATTTATCTTCAGACAATTATTTTCGTACTAATTGTATTTTCTCATATATAAATCTCTCAAATGTCACTATGAAACTATCTATTCGTCTCTTCAGTAACAATATTGATCAATCTCTTACATCATTATCAACTAGTCCCATTTTTCTAAAGAAAAAATGCTTTTATGTAATAACTTGATAACCGCTATATAGACGGGGTGGTGTGTGTGTGTGGGGGGGGTTTAGTGATTATCATGTTATCTATACTAGACTGATATCTTGTTTCATAATTTCTTAAACTGAATTTCTTCCACCTATCAATGATTACTTTTCTCATTTGCAGTTATTGTAACAAATTCATTGGATTTAGTTGATGTGTAGGTTGGAATCATTACACTGACTTTATTGTTTCTGACCTTTCTGCTTTTGTTTTCTCTCTTCTCCTAAATATTCAAATAACGATTGTGTAATAATAATGATAATGATACAAATGAATGAAATTTTGATTGAGACATTCAATGTGTTTTACTTTTTAAGTAGTATGTTATGAAGCTTAGTTTTTAAGTTTCCCTATATATACATATTAAAGTTACCTAAGATATTACTGATAAAGTTTTTTTTTTTCTTTTTTACTGATATTCAAGACTGAATATGACTAGTGTGCAGATTAAGACCTTGACGCTATAGGTTGACTGGCTTAACCTTGAAGCTATTATGTTTAAGTTCGAAGTGAGACCAACGGCTT